TTGAAATTGCCAGCAATATAATGTTGGTCGATGACCATGTGTTGTGGATGGCTCAAAAGGAAGACAAAGCCTGCACCAGGATTGTACGATGTGTGGAACACATTGCAAGTCAAATATTGACCAGCAATATTCAAGTTATATCAAAGGTATTACAAAGCTTTTAGTCAGAATTTATTTTAAACATGTAATTTTTCTTTACAATTTTTACAACCAACTTGTATATAGAGAAGTGAGATTGTGTAAGCCAGTTACATGGCATAGCTGATTTATGTAGATATACTTGGATTCTGTGATTTTTTTTTTCTTCTCCTGGATTCTGTTTGGAAGACCAAAATATTTTTTGAGTATCACTCATGGTATTATAAAGTGTTTTTTCTTGACTTTGATTTATTGTATTTATTCTACAATGGATTCTCACAACACTACCTCTCTAGTGTTACTATTCAGTCAGTTTCTATTGTTCTTGTCACTATAGTATATGGGTTTATTTTGAAAAGCCCAAGATGAGTGACTGAAATTTTTAATAAGAGAAAAGCCAATGTGTGCTGCCTTGTTACCTGAAGATTTTAATATGCCTTTCAGAGAGGATTCTAGACAATAGTTGCTTAAAGCTTCAGAAAATGATCAAAAAAGGTGTGTTTCTCATAAAGATTACTAGTTTGTGGTTAGTTTTAGTTTTTTTAGAATAAAACTTTAGCAGCATAAAATAATTCTTATCTGTTGGCCTTCACCTACATGAATTTGTCACTTAGATACAGAGGGATTTTCATTTGGTCACTAAGAAGCTGGGGGTTTTGTTGGTTTCAACATCTAAGTAGCAAAAATGCATCTAAATCAGAAACTTGAAACATCCTTTTTGAATCTTTGATAAATATTTTAAAGTCTTATCGTTTCTTGGGCTCATTTGCTTGCTTACTTGATTTTAAACAACCTTTATTATTTTCTCAATTGTCCACTACATTTATATGAACATGCTATTTAAAAGTGAGTTCAATTACAGCAATAGGTATAAAAGAAAAAAAATTATAGGCTGAGCTGAATGATAGGCATAATAGCCTTAGTTCCTTCTCTGTATATTTTTTAGAAAGGCAGTATTTCAAACAAAGGCAAAAATACATTGGACTGTTTTCTAAAGGAAGTTTTTTGTTTTATTTCCTTTTACATAAAAGAATCAAATTTGCTAAAAATATTTATTTATTTATATTCAGTACATGGAGACAATAATGTGCCTTTTAGAAGTATCTTGCAATGTGACAGCTAGGAAGGCTCTGTTGCTTTATACTTAAATTTCTTATAAATGTCAGGCGCCAAAGGTCTTTCTTTTTTCTTGTTACTTCTTCAGGAAGCTGTTGACATTATTGTAAACAGCAATTCTGTGTACTCAAATGTAGATGTGTGTCAGTAACCTTTTTGCCATGCTTTATCTTTTTGCTTCTTATAGTTTTCTGTAGGAGAATTAGTTTACTGTTGAGTGCAATTTGTAAATAAACAAAGCTGTGGAGTTTTTCTGGTGTCATCTCATGAAATACCAAATACTTCTGTTCCTTTGGGAGACCAGCCAACAAACTGTCTCACAGAAATTGCATCTGCTTTCTTTAACAACAGCAAGTAAAACCTCCAAAGCTTAGGTAGCCACTAGCTTATAATACAGTTCCTGAAAAAAACTTCTATAAACTGTGTCAGTCATATAACATATGCATGACTGTGTTCCCTGTACATTGAAAAGCTACTTGGGAGCCATGACTGTTACTCCTACATCGTTTTTGTAAGACAAAAATGTTTTTTCCAGTTCCATGGGGCTGTGGAATGACTAATTTCAAGGTCAGAAAAACGCCAGGGTGGATACCTTTGTTTTGATCTTCTTAGTTCTCCCTTGCTGTCAGATAGCACACCAAACATGCTGCAAGAACTGCCAGTAGCAACTTTCAAATATTAGATAACTATATTTATAAATATATATATATATTTAATGTTTTTTAGAGAAGTCATATAGACTTAAGGTTAATGTCAGGATGCCGCAAGGGCCAGTGCCTCCCTAGCCAAGGCCTGTCCCACTGCCCCCAGCGGGAGAGTAGGCCAGGGCGGGGTGGCTGGGGGCAGCCCCAACCCCTGGGCACATCGTCGGTGATACTGAGGCCAGGCAGGAAACACGAGGCTGCAGGTCGGGGTGAAGGTCAAGCCCAGAGATGGTAACTGGGCCCAGCTGCAGCCCAGTGGTGGCCAGGCCAGGCCATGGTGAGGAGACTGGCCCCAGGTCAGCGGTGGGTCTGTGGCAACAGGGCTGGTGGCCAGGCTCCGACGCAGCCACCTGGGAATTCAGGTGAGGCCTTGGAGGAGCCTCAGCTTGACACTTGGACCCTCAGAGGCCCTGGGAGCAGCCAGAGAAGTGGAGGCAACTGAGAGCTCCCAGGGTGGATCTGCATGCCTCAGCGCCCCCAGATTATTTTCCCTTCAGTATTGTTCTGAGGCACTGCTGCCCTCCTGCTTTTATGTCTGTGTATACATGTCAGATGTGCAGTTTGAAAAGGAGAACTTCCTGCTGAGGATAAATCTTTTCTCAGTGGTCCTGTCTCAGGTGTGTACAAGAGTTTTAAAACCCACCCCTGAAGAGTTTTCATTTTATCCTTCAGCCAGTGAGACTGTCTGAATATTTTAGGCTAATTGCAAGGTGGCTTTTTGTTTGTGCTCTCAGTCTTTGCAGCCTTCAGCACAGCTCTCAGTTTACCCATGTAGTGATCCCCATTGGTCCTTCTGCTGAGTGGTACCTTTATCTGAGGTTTATGAAATGGACACCAAAGTATAAATTTCTGTATCTGGACTGCTGAGAGACAAGATTAGGTTGTGTTTGTTCATAACATGCACCTGGCTGTGGCTTGTTTCCATGGATAATTTTGCTCTGAGTTCATCTGTATCCATTTTGTAGTTCATTTTAAAATCCTACATAACGAACACTGTTTTACTTTGCATTTTCCCTCTATATGCTAAGGGTGGCATGTTCACACTGAATATTGTCAAACCTTTACAGGTATATTTTGGGAATGGAAAACCCCAAGTGTTTAAAGACTTTAATAATAAAAATTTTAAAAATAGGGCTCACTGTTGTGAAATCACTTGAATCCTCATTACAACATTACCTAACAAATGTCTTATTCACTACCACCTCACAAATGTGAAAGAGAGAAGTAGTGTTATGCCCATTCAACAGCAGGAAACATGAAGCTGAAAATAATTAAATGGCTTTTCCCAAGATTAAAGAAAACATGTTACCACACAGGTGTTTAACTGAGTCAGGTAGCTTGTTTCCTGTGATATGGATAATAGTATTCTGCAAGCAGTAAATTTTTTAACTCCTTGAAAGGCTATCTACAGCTGGTATAAAAATTTATCTAGATAAACCTAGGTTTTGGTTTTAGGACTTTTCAATTAACAACCACTGGATTTTTAATATAAAAAATAGTGATTCTTAATGATCTTTGGCATTTTTATTGAAGTGTAGAAAAAAATCTTCAAGCAAAGACAGAAGTGGAAATTTAATCTAAAAAAGGGATGCTTTACAAATTTAGAAAAAAATGAAAAGAATCTTTAAGCTACTTCTACTTTAAAAGTAATATATATATATTACTCTTAAATAAAAAGTATATAAAATATACTGAAAGCTTCTAGATTTTGTCTAATTTTGACAAAAATAAAATAAATTGCTTAATGAGACTTTAGTACTTTCATTCTGGACATATGCAGAATCATCAGTGATTGAAGAAGGTACATTTGAAAACCATTTCATACGTTCAAAAGAGAACCAGCAAGTCATACACTGTGTTTCATGCTAAGATTTAATTTGTTCTGGTATCATGACTTTTACACAGTTAGGCTACCCTCTATCCTACCCTTTATTTTTTCTATGAAAAACGTTTTCTTTAGATTCATTTATTAGTATGAATTAATGTGATTTTCCTCAGTGAAGTAATTTCCTCTCAGAAGGATGCCCCAAATTCTGAGGATTTCACACCAGTTTTTACTAAGTGGATTTAAGGTACGTCTGTATTGCTAGCTTGCATAACAAGCAAAGTACAGTAATATAAAATTGCCATTTTTTACATTTATCCTTCCAGTAAACCTGCTAGTTTGTGACTTGACTCAGGTACCTTTACATTGCAATCAGTGTGCAAAATACATACACTCACAGGTCACTAAACAATCCATGCCTGGAAGGAGAAACCATATAGTCCAATCAGGGTGGTGCTAGTCTAAGCTAGGGAACCTGACTATGCATGAGCTATTTATCTCATGCACAGGACTGTGCTGACATCAACATACTAGTTCAAGGATAGAGATGCATATATCTGTGCTACAATCTCTATCTGGAGCATCACCTCACTAAAGGGTAGGCCAAAGACCTTTAACATGGTGATGCATTGAACCATGTAGTCATGTTCAGTATTCTAATTGAACAATGTCTGTAAAAACCTAGTCCATCCACCGAGTAGTTAAGAAGCTTTCTGTTTCATCTCAGAGGTACAAAGGACATCCTTTTTCTACTTCTGCTGTTGCTAGTTCACTTTATAACTGTACTGCTTTAAAACAAGATTCATTCCATTGAAGCTGATAGTAACACAGTTGCGAAACTGATACAATAATGAAATAAACTGATATATTCCTAAAGAAGATTCAAAGAAACCCCCTATGCCACCGTATAATTATATATCAGTTTTTTTTAAAAGTTCTATTTTCTTTCTTACCCTGTGAATATGTATAGGACTGTGTGCATGCACAATCCTTTATAAAGTATATACAGTTGTGCATATATATATGCATATCTATACAATGCATTTATAATAATGTAATTACACTTAATGATTAGCAACACATCTGCTTCTTGATGTTTTCACAGGTATCTCGTAATATTGCTCTGGAGGCCTTTATGATCAAACCATCTAGTTTCACCGGAATGACTTGCACTGCCTTCCAGAAAGTATCTTCAAATTATGACAAGTCAGTGGTATATGATTTGGGAAGCTGGGAAGCAAATCACCATCCTGATCAACATTTGAATTTCAAGTGCAACACTGGCAATCAGAACGGTTCCTTGGTGAATTCTTCTACCAGGGTAAGTCACTGCAATGATGAGTGTAACTTACCTATTTTAGTGTTTTCAGTAGTAGCTTTAATCACAATACTGATTTTAAAAATGTGCATTTTATGTGTTAGCATTGAAAACTGGTTAATAATTTCAACATGTAAGTGATCTTAAGCTGGTTTATTTGGCATAGCATATTTTGTTGTGCTAACAGATTGTCACATCCCACTCGGACAAGGAAGTCAAGGGACTTAAGTTTGTGAATTCCCAACGGAGCGGACAACAGTGAGACAGTTCTCAAAGTCCAGACATTTATTGACTTCCCACAGTGCACTAGTTGGATACACAATAATTGACTATGTATATAACAAGTTATGGCAAGCAATATAGTGTGCTTTGCATTACTTAGTGAGGGAAAAGGGGAAAAAGAAAAGGAGAGAGATAGAGAGAATAGAGAAATAGAGATCACCGGTCCAGGTTCCTGTTTTGGTATCATCCAAGTTCATCAGGGATGCATCCATCTTCTTCACTTCTTTTTTCTTTCTATATTTCACTCCTTGACCCTCTCAATTTATAAACACTTTCCTTGGCACCATCCCCTAGGTCAACCAACATACCTATGTATCCCATGTATGGGGAGGGGTAAGGTGCTCCATGGGATGATCTAATTAGCATAATCTTGTTAATCTTTATTAGTATATTAAGGGGGTGTCAACTTTAATATGTATTTCACCAACAATGAAGAAAAGGTCATTCACTGGACAGATGGCCACTGAAAATTTATAAGATACACCAGTGCAGAGCCTTCACAGGACTCCCTCCTCCAGCTGCATCCTGTGATATCCAGGCAGCCTTATCAGCTCCAAACTCCACACTATTCAATCCATGACTATAGATAGTTTCATTACTTGCAAGTGTTTGAGACGTTCCTTGGCTCGGAGGGCCTCTGCTCCCCCCATCCCTTATCTCTGTCAGGCTGCTTTTTCTCACAGTCCTGTTTCTCTGAGGCCCTGTTTCAGGGAGTTACAAGTCGTCTCTCACACAGATATTTCATTAATGTAATCAGTAGAATGCAGGAATGCAGGATGTGAACAGAAATAAGTAAATGTCATCTTCCTATCTCTGGCTTCAGTTCTACAAACTTTCTATGTGTAAGCAATCTCTTTGAAGTAATTTGGAAATATTTGTTTTAGTTAGGTGATTTTATGTTACAAAAATGAGTTTTTTAGGAGAATTACCTTTACATCTATTAAATAATATTCTCTATCTTCTGAACTTTAAAGAGAAGAAGGGTGTTATACTGGAGTTTTTGAGTAGTAGTCGAAGAAAAACAATAATAAATAAGCCTTTTAATAGAATGCACCATTATTATCAAATAATGAAGTGGAACAATTAAATTTTGATCTAGCAGAAAATGGAATTTTGCATTTGGCTGAGCGTGTTATTAAATTTAAGTATTGCAGAGTTGAATTTTTGTTATCCTTCAGCTGAATCTCAGCTTAATAGGCTTATTTCTTGAAATACTTACTATGACAAAATGATACTTTTCTGGACGATATTACTAGTTTATTGAACTTTGAAAGTATTTTGATGGAAGTTATTTTCTCTTTGGTGCATTTTAATCTTCTGGTGGACTATGCAGTCAGTGATACGGTAGTTTGTGCTCTCAAGATCTTCTGTTAAAAAGGAGTCATCTTAATAATGGAAGAATGGGTTAAATCTGCTTCCTGCAATGGAGTTCATTTCTTCTGTGGACACTGATAAGATGTCTATCTATATGAAGGAGAAAGTTGTCTCTGAAAAGAGTTTGACATCCATAAGATGAAAACCAAATGTCAGAGATCTAAAAGATACAAGATTAGATACAAGATACAAGAAGCAACCCTGGAACACTCTGCAATGTATGGGATAGTATGATTGATATAGAAATACACCTGGGATTATATTAATTGGAAAGTTTTCTTTATCAGCTCTACCAATATATTTTGTATTCCTTCAGAAACTGAGTACCGACATATCTAATAAATTAATCTCTTGATTGGTCAAACACTGGTGTCTCTCTGCTGTTATAAAGAATTCTACCATAAATGCATTTCTCCTATCAGCATGCATGTGTCAGATACACAGAGTAAGTTAGAATATTTATTTGAAGCCCCTTTCTAAAATGTTGGCAGAGTGTCACCATATAAAGATCTCAGTAAAATATTTCCTGTTGTATTTTGAACTTAGCTGACTGTATACAACATACAGAAGGGAAACCCTACTGACTACACAGAGAGAAAAGCTAGGAGAATGAAAGTAAACATTACCATGCAAAGCAGTTTTGAAGTATATGATATATATTCTGACAGAAGTGACTTTATTGGGTGGATCACAAGTTATCACCTGTATATGAATTTTTAAATATAACAGCACAGAACAGGAGATTATAGATTCAGCTAAATGATAGTTTCATGGCTTTAGGTTTTAACACTAAGGTATACTCAGGTTTAAAATGTGTTACGTGAATAAACAGACTGAATATGTTCCTTTAACTTAATCCTGAAAAGCAGTATGTTTTCATTCATTGTTCTCTGAAACTTTTAGGCTAAATGCTCCTTCAGTTCATTCTGAAATGAGTTGCATTTCTACATTAATAGAATGATCTGTAGAATTGTAACTGATAACAGAAAATGGAATTCTTTATCATCATCCACTAGCAAAATTATTTCTGTATTTGCTCAATGGAGGCAAACAGAAAACCTACTTGATTGTGCTATGCAAAGTTCAGGAAAGTAGAGAATTTGTGATGGTTTGGGAGTTGCTTGTTTTAATTACCAGTGTTTAGTCACTATATTTTAAACTAATACTCATTATTATGTCTGACTCTTTAGAAGTTTATCTGAGATGCTGAGATTATTCTTAGAATCTTCCTCTATTTAGCATAAGATTAATCATAAAGATGAAAAATCACTAATGAAAATGAAAATCACTAAGTACAAATGGTAATTACAAATTTAATTTGCTTTTAATAAAAATGTGAAAAAATGTCTTAAAAAAGCTTATTAAGAGAGCATGTTTATATATTTTTGTGCTAGAAAGTGTAGCCCTCTTCAAATGTAAATCATCTGCTCACTAAGCATAAACAATTGTTTATGCCATCTGTCTGTTACTAACCAATTGCACTAATAATCTAAAAAAGTGAATACTCATGAAGCGATTTCTGGGCAGTTGATGGGAGAAGACTGAAATAGATGATCACAAACTATCTTAATACAATCAAAATTTTTGTAGTTTACACATAGTGATATTTCCTGGCAATGGTAGAAAATTGATACACATGTAGTCAGTTGTTGTCTGTACATAATTTAACCTGAAAACCCAACAAAACAAACAGGTGAAAAAAGAATAAACTTTGAAAATTAAATAATTTTAAAGGCACCAGAAGAGATTCACCATTCAGAGAAGTTCAGGAGATAACTTTTAATATATACCTATATGCAGTTATGGTTCAAATATGTGGTAGGTATTTTATAGATTGACGTGAAGTGTTTTGCAGATACCCTAAATATTATTACAGTTTGATACACAAATTTTTATCTTTAAATCTAATTCTGAGTCTGTATCCAGTAACCAAACTGAAAGGTTGAAAAGAATAATTTATCACTGTTTGAGATCAAAAGTTTCTTCTGGAAGGATTTAGACTCAGATGCTGTCTTTTAGATCCCATTTCTGCTTTTAATAGGAGCTTTTGCTGCCTGACTGGACTCTATTGGTTGAAAAAAGTGGCTCAGCTATATCTTCCTAGTTTCTAATAGTAGGCTTGTATTTTGACATAGTGGTTGTTTTCATCTCTGTTTAAGCAGGTTTAAGAGCATCATCCCAGCCTGGGATGCACCCGAGGCACAATTCTGTCCCATGACCTGCCTGTGGTCTAAGGATATCACTATGATGACACACCAACATGGCTGCTGTAACATTTGAACTCAGGCAATGTGGGAATAGCTTATGAAATTGTGGTGCTATTCAGTATAGTGTCTCGTTCCCTTTTGATATCAGACTTGAAGTGTACTTGGAACCTAATCTCTGTTCCATCTTGATCCTGTAAATTATCTCCCATGAACAATGATAATCAGTTAACCCTTCCTCTGACTCACTAAAATGACTTCAACATAAAATGAATTTTCAAATCTCCTGTACTATAATAATCAAATGTGTAATGTATAGGGGACTGTAAATTCAGTATTCATGCTTGGACTTTAAGGAAAGTATTTTATTAACATAATTTACAGTTCCAGCTTCATTGAAAACACTTGCCAAGTAAAAGTATTTTCCTCATTTTAATTATTTTTCTGACACACAAATTAGAAGATTAAGTCTCAAAATTTCAATAATCTGTATTTTCACATGTAATCCCCGACTTCTGAAATTTGAATTCCTCATAATATTCTCCATGTGTTCCATTTAATTTTTCAATTTTATTTATTGCTATATACTATGAGCCAGATTGACCTTTTGATTTGTCAGGTGGTATTACAGGTGATATCTGTGTGATAAAATGTTAAAAGTTAAATTGGTACTATGATTGGTATTAAACAAGCTAACCATGAAAAAAAATTCTAAAGTGCTTTGACAGAATCCTATGATTACTTTGAGACACTACACAATTTTAGAAATATTTTTGTCTTAGATATTTACAGGAAAATATACAATCAGTATGTAAGAAATTTTTTTTCTTGTATAAAATAAATTTTGAATGTCAGATCATACAAACAACATATAAATAATTGTAAACTCATATGTGAAAGTGAACAGGAGTGCAGAAAACAACCTAATACAACGATTTCCACCAACATGTGACAAGGCATTTGGGGTAGGATAAAGCACAGAATTAAAAACCCAAAGAGGAATAGTGAAGGGGAAAGTTTGAAGGTGCAGAAAATAGGTCTTACAATGAAAGTATCTTTCTTACCATCTACTGTATGTGATATGTTCAGTATCTTTATAGATAATTAATTATATCCATTTGAAAGCTGCTTAGCAGAGTGTGC